TGGATTTTCCCTGATTTCATATGCACGCATTATATTCACTATAATTCAGATCCCTTCTGCCACTGGGCGCTCCAAAGCCTTTTTCACCTGTGCCTCCCATCTCACTGTTGTAACCATTTTTTATATGGTACTTATGTTTATGTACTTGAGGCCTTCAACTCATGGGAATATCCAACTTAACAAAATATTGTCTCTTTTCCACACGAGTTTCATTCCCATGTTAAACCCTTTCATCTACACAATCCGGAACAGTGATTTCAAAACAGCTCTGTGGAAAACAGTAACCACACATAGGAGTTTCTAACATGGTGCCTGACACTAAATATCTAGGTGTTTCCATTACCTCTCTTTCTGAAAGAGAACTATGGAGTCCTTGATGCTCTCTGAACCTGGTTGCTTTCTTGCAGACATTTCATTACCCAAATGGGTAACATCTTCAGCATTGCTAGCCCTGATGATGTTAACTAATTGGGTGATGGAATGTCTGCAAGAAAACAACCAAACTCTTCTGTCGAAAAAGAAAATATTTTGTAATCCTCATTGCTTCTGTCTGTGGGATCTTGTTCAATGGTTGCACATCCATCTGGGAAACTACGAAATTATGTATGAAACTATGAATTCTTTAAAATATTTTATGAATCTTGAGCAGTCTTTGTCCATTTGACAATGTTTACTTGCTCAAAGCAAATTTCTTTCTTCCTATTATTTTGAGCAGTCATCAAATATGATATCAGCTGTTGGCTTTTGACTATGCTTGTTTAATGACCTTGTGATTCACTTAACAGTGGGGAAAAACGTTATAAAATCAGGTTGTTGTTCAGTTAACAGTCATCTTGCTTAGCAAAGGAAATTGTTTGCAATTGTGGTCATAAGTTGAGGACTATCTGTATTCAGTTTACTGGAGGGACTCAGAAACATAAGTAATGTATAAGAAGGTGAATGATCATGTTCTCAGTCTGACTTCAAGAGAATAAATTTCTTCAAGAATGAGGAACTCTGAGTAAATTCCCCTTTTCTATCTACTTTTGGTTAGGAAGCGTCAAGGAAGACTGAACAGCTCCCATCATTTTTCACAAATCACTGCCTCCCATGTAATTTAATTTAGTGAGGGTGAAGGTTTGTTCTCCAAGCTTATGGCTTGGTTTCTGAACATTTCATTACCAGGCTAGGTGACATATTCACCACTATTGCAAATTTAATTTAGTATCTGAAAAATAACATGAACCTTGTGACTTTGAAGAGTTTGAAGAGATTTTTCTTCCTCTCTTCTTCTAGCTTAACTTGGATAAGAGCAACCAGATTTAAGACGACAGCATTTAAGTAGATTAATAGCAATAGCACTTAGACTTATATTCTGCTTCACAGTGCTTCACAGCCCTCTCTAAGTGGGTTACAGAATCAACATATTGTCCCCAACAATCTGGGTCCTCATTTTACCAACCTCAGAAGGATGGAAGGCTGAGTCAACCTTGACCCAGTGAGAATCAAACTCCTGTCAGCCAGCAATGAGTTAGCCTGCAATACTGCATTCTAACCACTGCTCCACCACGGCTCAAGACTCTAGAACAGGGGATGAAAAGTGGCTTTGACTTTGCAAAGGATTGGAACACATTGTAAGTAGCAAAATAAAGTCCAAACATTCCTGATTGGCTTTTCCATGTGGAATAGAGAGGGGATACACTCTTGTTCTTTTGCCTAGGAACTACTTCAGATGACCTTACTGGTGGTGAGGTCTATATTTCTTCAAGTTCTATTTTGTGTCCTTCCATAGTCTTGGCTCACCCCAACCACATTCCCCAGATCACCCCCAAAGAGGTCCCTAACTGATTAGTTGACTTCTATTCCCATATGATAATCTTCAGCTCAGTTTGGGATTTGGAAATAATTAATTGTTGCCTGTATTATATATATATTAAAAGTCATTATCACATAGATTCACTAATGAACCACACTCTTAAAAAAGGTCCTAGTCCTTTGTTGTTGTTTTTTTACTCTGGATTTATCTGCTGTACTCTGCCTGGTTTCTCTATCAGTTATCATCGACTAATTTTTTTCATCGTGGAAATTATTCTATAGACGAGTTCATCTTTTGGGTTTTGTAGGTAGGTTATGGCCAAATAATATGCTATGTTATTTGAAAGCTTTCTAAAAATGAAAAGAGATTAATCGCTTGTCTTTTTTTCTAACAATATTGTCAAGTTTTATTATATATAGACTGTATATAGTATATCTCATCTTAAAGCTTTATATAAGTCTTAGAATGTCTCTTGGTTGAATTCATCTACAGTCAAAGATCTTTTATTTTGTTTTTATTTTCCCCATTCTCCATACCTCTGTAGCTTCCAATTTCTGGGGGTGAAGGGTGGGAAAGAACTCACTAAAACCTAGATTATGTTTATATACCTGAAAGAATATTTAACATTCTTCCTGTAATAAACAATATGATTAAACAAGAAAAGGAGGAGGAGAAAAGAGGAAAGAACTATCAATCAAATCATATATTAGGAAAATAAATCATACCACTCAAAAATGTATTAGGATGTAATTCCACCCTTGTTCTCCATTATCTTGTCCCTTCTCTGAATTGATAAATCTGATTTGGGACATAAAAAAACTCATCCCAACTCTAAAAGGTCAGTGTAAGTACGATGTAAAAAAGATGTTGAGATTCTAGAAAGAGTACAGAGAAGAGCAACAAAGATGATTAGGGCACTGGAGGCTGAAACATATAAGGAACAGTTGCTGGAATTGAATATGTCTAGTTTAATGAAAAGAAGAACTAGGGGTGATGTGAGAATAGAATAGAATAGAATAGAATAGAATAGAATAGAATAGAATAGAATAGAATAGAATAGAATAGAAAGGGACCTTGGAGGTCTTCTAGTCCAACCCCCTGCTCGGGCAGGAAACCCTATACCATTTCAGACAAATGGTTGTCCAATCTCTTCTTAAAAACTTCCAGTGTTGGAGGATTCACAACTTCTGGAGGCAAGTTGTTCCACTGATTAATTGTTCTAACTGTCAGGAAGTTTCTCCTTAGTTCCAGATTGCTTCTCTATTTGGTAAGATAAGAAGGATAATAGTAATACAGCCATACTACACAGGTAAATATACTTAGACAGTATATTTAGATAGTACTGTGGGAATTAGAGATAAGACAGTACCGTAGAACAATATGCCTCCTGAAGTTGTGAATGCTTCAACAATGGAAGTTTTAAAGAAAAGATTGGACAACCATTTGTCTGAAATGGTATAGGCTTTCCTGCCTGAGCAGGGGATTGGACTAGAAGATCTCCAAGGTCCCTTCCAACTCTTCCTCCTCCTCCTCCTCCTCCTCCTCCTCCTCNATGATGATGATGATGATGATGATGATGATGATGATGATGATGATGATGATGATGATGATGAAAATGATAATAAAGTTGGAAGGCACCTTGGAGGTCATCTAGTCCAGCCCCCTGCTCAGGCAGGAAACCCTATACCATTGTTGAGCCTTCAGATGCTTTGGAGAATAGCTTGACTCTCTTCTAATATCTAAGGGGCTGCCACAAAGAAGTAGTTGACTTATTCTCCAATGCACCTAAAGGCAGGACAAGAAGCAATGGATGGAAACTAATCAAGGAGAGAAGCAAATTAGAAATAAGGAGAAATTTCCTGACAGAACAATTAGTCAGTGGAACGACTTGCCTCCAGAAATTGTGGGTGCTCCAATATTGGAGGATTTTAAGAAGAGATTGGACAACAATTTGTCTGAAATGGTATAAGGTTTCCTGCCTGAGCAGTGGGTTGGACTAGAAGACCTTTAAGGTCCCTTCCAGCTCTATTCTGATTGATTCATTGACCTCCAAGTTCCCTTCCAACTCCGTTGTTCTGTTATTCTGTTATATATTGATTCCTGAAATTATTACAACATGGGTATTATTTTATTGAAAATATTAAATAATGTATGCTTAGACTCACCATTAACCTTAGCTCATCTGCTTGTCCTTGTGTAGTACCTTGGCTCAAATATGCTGTTTTAATGAGGAATTTTTTTTTTAATGTTTTGACTCATGATATAACTGAATCCAGGGAAAGCAAATTTCCTGATCTTAAAAAATTATAACCTTGTTATTCTTGATTTTGAACAAACTGATGCCAAATTAATTTAACTTTTTTTTATTCTAGTGCACTAGAAATAATAAAAAGAAAGCATGAGGTCTCAAAATTACAGCACGGTGAAAGAATTCATTTTCATAGGTTTTCCTGGCATCCAGAAATTCAGGGTTCCTGTGTTCCTGATCATAGCAGTGTTCTACATATTAATATTAAGTGGGAATGTTCTGATTATCTTCTTCGTGTGGAAAGATTATCGACTCCACACCCCCATGTATTGGCTTCTGGCCAACCTTTCCTTGTCAGGACTTGGATTCACCACTGTTATTATTCCCCAAATGATGTTCAATATAATCACCAAGCGAAAAGTCATTTCCTTTATGGGTTGCATGATCCAGATATATTTCTATTTTTTCTTGGGAACTTTAGATTACATTTTGGTGGCTATTATGGCCTTTGATCGCTATGTAGCCATCTGTAACCCCTTGAGATATTCTGTCATCATGAGTGGTTGGTTCACCTTTCAGCTTGCTGCTGCCTCTTGGATAGGGGCTTTATTTTCTGTCCTTTTCTCTGCAATCCCCTTTTATCTGACTCCCTTCTGTGGCCCCAATGTTATTAACCACTTCTACTGTGATATCCTTCCTGTGCTCAGGCTGGCCTGCAAGGACACAACCACACTGAAAAGGTTGAGCTATGTCTCAACAGCTCTTATTGTCCTGTGTTCACTTTTCCTAACCTCAGTATCTTATATCTACATCATTGCCACCATCCTACGCATTCCATCTTCAGCTGGCCGACACAAGGCATTTTCAACCTGTGTTTCTCACATTACTTTGGCCTTGGTTTTTTATGGATGTTCCATTTTCATGTACCTTCTACCAGAGAAAATCCATTCCTCTGGCTTCTACAAAGGTGTGGCCCTGCTTCACACTGTGGTAACACCTTTGTTGAACCCATTCATATATACCCTTCGGAATGAGAAAGTAAAGGAAGTCTTCAAAGATGCATTGAAACGAATGGACATTCTTGCCCCCCAAAAGAAGTGACCATTTATTTAATTCAAGAGAAGGGGTCAACTTATTTTCCAAAGAACCAAAAGGCAAAACAAGAAACAATGGATGGAAACTAATCAAGGAGACATTAGTTAAGGAGATTTAACTAATTAAGGAGAAACTTCCCAACAGGGAGAACAATTAACCAGTGGAACAGCTTGCCTTCAGAAGTTGTGGGTGCTTCATCATTGGAGGTTTTTAAGAAGAGACTGGATAGCCACTTGTCTCAAATTGTATAGGATCTCCTGCTTGAGCTGGGGGTTGGACTAGAAGACCTCCAAAGTCCCTTCCAGCTCTATTCTGATTGATTGATTGATTGATTGATTGATTAATTGATTGATTTGGATACCAATCTATATCCCAGTGTGACATTTTTTTCATGCCTTGGGTTATTGTGAACCTAAGATCAGGACTATATGGCTAAATTTTGTTTTGATGCAATCAAGTTGAGGAATTGTAAAAGCTGATCTGTAGATGAATAGGAACTTGAAGACTGGAGATTATAGTGGGTATCCCATCTCATCTCCCAACCTCCCCCCAATGTCAGTGCTTATCAACAGAAAACGTTTGGAGTTTTAAGTGTCAGAGTCATGCTGAAAACAATAGTAAGAAAAGGGGTATTTTAAGGACAGTAGGGAGATACTTTTTCTGATTCCATCATTGTGCTTTATGAAAAAACAAGAGCATGCATCTTCTGTTAGTATCTACCTTTCTTTACATCTCATGGAAAGTGAGAGGATTTGGATTTGTAGAATTTAAATCTCCATACACCATCAGTTGAGATGTTGGGTTTCATAGGGATTAGAGCAGGGGTCTTCAAACTTGGCCCTTTTATGACTTGTGGACTTCAACTCCCAGAATTCCTCAACCAAACATGCTGGCTGAGGAATTCTGGGAGTTGAAGTCCACAAGTCATAAAAGGGCCAAGTTTGAAGACCCCTGGATTAGAGGGAGATAGAAATAGATGATAGACTCACCTGCCCAGAGGAATTATTCATTTAGAAAAGTATTAAAGGGACATGAAGTTGCTGTGGTTGGAACCCTAATTCTTCCAAATGTGGTTGGAACCCTAATTCTTCCAAATAAATATTATTTTAGCCAGAATCCACAGTGATGACAGGGGCTGCCACAAAGAAGAGGGAGTCAAGCTATTTTCCAAAGCGCCTGAAGGCAGGACAAGGAACAATGGGTGGAAGCTAACCAAGGAGAGAAGCAACCTAGAACTAAGGAGAAACTTCCTGACGGTTAGAACAATTAACCAGTGGAACAACCTGCCTCCAGAAGCGGTGAATGCGCCAACACTGGAAGTTTTCAAGAAGAAACTGGACAGCCATTTGTCCGAAATGGTATAGGGTTTCCTGCCTGAGCAGGGGGTTGGACTAGATGACCTCCAAGGTCCCTTCCAACTTTATCACTATCATCATCATCATTATTATTATTATTATTATTATTATTATTATTATTATTATTATTATTATTATTATTATTATTATTATTATTATTATTATTATTATTATTACAATAATAAACCAACATCCAAACTCACACCATGAATAATATCAAAGGGTGCCCAATCCTACCAAGGCTTGCTTTCTTAAAGATTTAATAATGCACCTAATTCTTTGACTGTCTTCAGAAGTGGAAATAAATGCTTAATCTTGAAAAAAAGAAAAGAAATAGATGATAGACAGATAGAGAGAGAGGAGAGAAAGAAAGATAGAATAAAAAGTTAGAAAGATGGAAAGAAAGATAGGAAGACAGAATGAGATGAAAAAATCTGGGCATATAGAGATATTCTAAACTCTGAAGGGAATTTAAAATCTGAACAAGAAATGGAAAATCAGGGTATCAATCTATCATGGTGGGCACATTTACAAATGCAAGCTAGATATGATAAAGATGTTAAACTGTATGGATTTTATAAGGAACAAACTGTGTTTGATAAGACATTGTTAACTTCTGATGAGAAACTAATTAAGAAAATGTATATATTTTTTATTAACTTTGAAAATGGAAAGCGAACAAGTTAAAGAAACAATGATAAGATGGGTGAAACATTTTGGATACAATGTAGAATTAGAAAAATGGCAAAATTTTGCGAAAGAAATTACAAACTGACAATGTCAACTTCCTACAAAGAAAATTTATATAAAATACTTTGTAGATGGCACTTGTCACCAGCAAGACTAGCAAAAATGTTCAAAAACATGTCAGATAGATGTTGGAAATGTAAACATAAGTCAGGCACTTATTATCATGTTTGGTGGACTTGTGACAAAGTAAAGAGTTATTGGAAAAACTGGTTAGAAAAGATGTTGGGAGAATATGTAGATTTTAAACCTGAACTTTTTAAATTAGGTATAATGCCAAAAAAGACTAACAAACAAAGCATATATTTGATTTTGCATGTCACAACAGTGGCAAGAATTACATTTGCGCAATACTGGAAAAATGAAGGAATACCATCAGAGGAAGAAATAATTAAAAAAAAGAATGTGCAGAGATGGATAGACTGACTATGAGACTAAAAGAAAAAGAAGAAATGGAATATTATCAAACTTGGGACTTATTTTATCGATGGCTAGATAAAGAATAAAGGATTAGGAATTAAATATGTATTAGCGAATGTAAACTCAGACAGCACGTTTGTTGAAAAATTATTACTGAATGTATGGGAAAAAAACCAATAAAAACTTTTACAAAAAAAAAAGACAGATGATAGGTAGATAGATGATACATGAGAAAGAGAGACAGACAGACAGACAGACAGACAGACAGACAGACAGACAGACAGACAGACAGACAGACAGACAGACAGACAGACAGACAGACAGACAGACAGACATCCTTTAATGATGCCATCATATCAGAAGTAATTTTGCCACTTTCTGCCACAATGCTTTCCTAGCTAGAGCAAATGTCCTCATTGCCAGACTGGAAATATTTTTTTACAAAAAATGTCTGAATGGTTAACCAAAATTTTGGATGTTGCCAGTTGATAAAAGTCAAGGACTTCATAAGAGGCCATCATGAGATCAAATCAATCAGATCATGGGAGGGATGTTTGTGAAAAGTAATAAAAAAAATAAAACATCTAGAAAAATGATGTAAGGTTCTGCCAGCAAAAAAATTGCCTCCCAAAAGAGATAATTCAATGTCTATTTCTCTAAGTGAAATTTCACACTTTTCTGAAGAACTGTTATTTTAATAGAGAAATATATCATATATAAATTTATACCCTGAATATGTTTGTGTATACACAGGAAGGTACCTAAAGGCACAGACATACAGTATATGGATATAATTTTCAATAACTTAGTGAACAAAACTTTCCAAGATTAGCTTTCTTAGATTGGCCCACAGAGATCTATGTGGTGCTCAGGGACCTCCTAAGAAATCCTTGAGATATCAACAAGAAAGTCCTAAGGGTAAAAAAAAAAAAAAAGAATCTTGCAATAGAATGGGGGGGGGAATCAGATCCCCATTAATTGTACTGAAATCTATCTCAGAAATGGTGTAGAAGTGCTAAAAATGTATGCTCTTTGGCTTAACAAAATAACAGAATAACAGAATTCTAAGGGACCTTGGAGGTCTTCTAGTCCAACCCCCTGCTTAATTTTCAGAATTTTGAGAAACCTGTATAGTAATTTTCCTGGTTCTAAAGACCTTCAGCCACAAATGCCTGGGGGAGAAAAAAAACCTATATAATTGCCTCTTTCCTCCTGAATCCCACATTCTCTTTTTCTGATGGAAAGGGAAGATGGACATCTGGGGTTAGAGGCTATATGAGCATCAATTAGCCTGCAGGGTCCTTAATCCACAGCAAAGTTTTTGTAAGTTGCATTGTTGCCATACTTTTAATAGAAGTCTTTATCATGGAACAAATGATTGAACTAGACCCAGGAATATAATACTCTCCTACTGATATCTATGGAGATTCTCAGTCATCCAGGTCATGGTTGTCCCAAAGATGCTTTTTCAAAAGGCAATTGGACTTTTAGATGAGAAGCAAAATGTGTTTAAGGAAAAACAAAGTTCAGTTGCCTTTTGAAAATCACCTTTGGGACTTTCCTACTGTAACAAATTCTGGTTCTTTCCAAAGACACAAACAATACATTGCATAACAACAACAAACAAAACAGGAATTTATTTTATGAATTTAGTTAACAAAGGCTCAACTTTCAAACATCATATTGGGAAGACATATATTGTGCTCAAGAAATATTATATAAAGTGTACTCCGCCTCTATAGATAGAAGCAGAGATAGACACAAAACTTGAAGAGATGTTATAGGTAGAGGTAGTACAGAGAAAAAGACAAGTTTGTGTGTGTGTGTTTGTGTGTGTGTACGTGAGAGAGAGTGTGTGTAAGGAGAGAAAGAGAAATGAGGCAGACTGAGACAGACATAGACATAATTCTTCTCAAGATTAATTAGCTTTCTTAAATTGGTCTGGGTAGATCCGTGTAATCCTTTAAGCCTTCAGAGAAATCCTTGAGGTACGTTCAAGAAAGTCAGAAGAAAAATAAAATCTTACTCAAATTAAGTGAACAAAATCTATATCCACATTAAACTTACTGAACACTATCTCAGAATTAGTGTGGTTGCTGCTAAAAAGGTATGTTGTTTGATTTTATTGTGAAATTTGTTTGGCATTGTACCTGGGTGATATTTTTAATGCTGGATTAGTGGAAGAGATTATTTTTATGTTTAGGTATTTTGAAAAAAAGAAATTCTTCTATATATTTGATGCTGGAATAATGCTCTAATTTTGTCACTTGGCAATGATGTATTCTATGTGAAAACGGTTTATTTTTAACGCAGGAGCACTCTGATGTTTTTGAGTTGTTTGGGGTTATATTATGGTATGGAATTGTTGGAATGTTAATAAAATAAATCTGATTAAATTGGGGTTTAGTAGAAGTTCTTTATCCACGCCTTTATGTTTTCTCTACTTTTAAATAATACAATCATTAATCAACTTGAGTTTGAGAA